ATTATTGCCTTCCAACAAAACGCAGTCTTGGCGAAATGCAGCCGTTATCATGCAGACTCACTGTAAACCACAACAACAGAAGAAGCAACAGCAATTTAAAGTAGTAATTGTCACAACCACCACCCCCACAACAGTAATAACAGCAATAACAACAACAGCGTAACGACACTAACTGTGACAACAACAACAACAACAACAACAACAACAACAACAACAACAACAACAACACTAGTAGTAGCAAAACAACAACAACAACAACAATAACAACCACACAAAAAATCAACAATAAATTATCAAGAATAGCAACCACATATTCTATCCACAGAGTCATTTTGAGCATCATCGTATTCTTTATGGTAGTGGGCACGGTTTACGACATCATCTTCATACAACGGCCTCTCTGGGCAGCCTCCCAGAAAGAAGACCTTCTGACGAACCAAGATGAGAAATCGCGCAATGGTTACCATCCAGTGGCGGAGAACGGGGTCGCTACTGTTGAAACAATACCTCTCGTGAACAAGACGTCTCAGAAAATTGAACCGGGTAGGTGGTTGTTGTTGTTGTTGTTGTTGCTATTGTTGTTGTTGTTGTTGTTGTTGTTGTTGTTGTTGTTGTTGCTGCTGTTGTTGCTGTTCCTGTTGGTTTGTTATTGATACTAATGATGATGGTGTTCGTAGTGGAGGTGATGGTGTTAATAATGTTGTTTTGGTTAAGTTCTTGCTGTTGCTGCTATTGTTGGGTTGGCGGGGGGGATGACGATGACAAAGAAAACGACGACGACGACGATGATGATGATGATGATGACGATGTTGTTATTGTTGGGGGTGTTGTCGTCGTTGTTGTTGTAGTTGCTTGTTGCTGAAGCCTTTTGTAAACACGTTGAAAATGGAAGACTGAACAAGATAGATTGACATAACTGTTGGTGTTGCGTCTTGGTGTTGTTGCCGTCGTAGTCATCGTTGCTGTTGCTGTTGCCTTTGATGCTGTTGTTGTTGCTGTTGTTGTTGTGTTTTTGTTACTGATTTTGCTATTGTTATTGTTGCTTTTGTTGTTGTTAAGTTGTAGCTTACGACAGGTTAGTACTAGGCCTACAACAACCACTACAGTTCTATGGACAGCCATATTGACATGTTTGTGGAGATGAGGGGGGCGGGGTGTTTATTGTTGTTGTTTGTCTAGGTGGGAGGGGGGTTGTTGGGGGGTGTTTGCTGTTGTTGTTGTTGTTGTTTTATTTTGTTTTTCTGTTTCTTAGCAAAATGGGAGATGGTAAAAGAGAAAGAATTGCCTGTAAAGTTTGAGATCTCCCTACAAAAAGAAACCGAAAGACAGACCGAAAAAAAACCCATTCAAATAACAACAACAACAACAACAACAACAACAAAAGACGACGGCCATGTCAACAACAACAGCAGCAACAACAAGAAGAACAACAGCAAGGCACTTCACAGACCAACATAAAGCCTTTGTTTGAATTATATAAATTATTATTCTTTTCTCTCGACTCAAATCAGGAAAACTAGCCAAAGCCATCTTGGCGTTTTCTGTATACACCAACGCCTCCAAATTCCTGAACACCTACCAACCGCCCGGATCTCTTGGCGCTATCCATGGCATCAGATTCCTCAGCATGACTTGGGTTATACTCGGCCATACCTATGTGTTTGGAATTCAGTCATTTGGTGAGTAGACCAAAGACAAATTTAATCATATTAATATGATTACCATGTTCACAGTTCTGCTACGCGTATCCTGTTCAATTCCTTTCAAATCAGTTTCAGCAAAAATGCCGATTCTTTTTATAATCATTAACGTTATCAAAAACCACACAAGTCAAAAAAGGCGTGATTGTTCGCATCCTATTCAAAAATGAATATTCGGTGTGAAACTCTTCATGAATATCATGCCTATTTACACTTAATTATTATCTTGCATCTCATCCTTAATGGAAGCGTTGTTTCCAGCATTTCTATTTCGTCAATATGGGCTGAGTTTTTCTGTGTTTGAGATACTTTATCCTTGCAACTTAAGACTTGCATACTTTTTGAAGACCGGCGTCTGTGGTATAACGAGTAGGGGTTTCACCGACGCACGCAGAAAACCGTAGTTCCATTCCCGTTTGTCTCGGTCTTTCTGTTGAAACACGTCATCCCTCTCAGCCCGGGTTAGCCCTTACAGGCAGAACGTAATAAATTGTGTCCATGTTGACATTAAGGAGGGGGGGGGGGTGCGTGTTTAAGAGTGAAAGTGAGTTCTACCTTTTCAAACGGTCCGTTTTAGTTCAGCTCACTTTCAACAGCCGCTCGTAATGATACTTATATTTTTAGGCTCTTTTCCAATAGTCAAGTGTATCTGTGTGTAGAATGTTTTGTCAGCAATAAGGCTATTCCTTTCTTTTTCGTTTCTGACCTTGGGGAAGGTACTTAACATACGAATTTTCCCATTTAGCTCGGTCCTATGGGAGATGGACGATAGTTCGAAGACCCCTTACAAGGAGAAGGAGTGTTAAACTTAGAGTTTGGCACCTTTTTGTTTAGATCTCATAATGCGTTACCTGTAAACATTTTGCCTTATGATATACCTTGCACTATAATCTCTAACTGAAAATAAGATACATGTGTACATTTAAAGTTTAATAGTTACCCAAACTGACATGAATAATACTGGTGGTTGGCGGATGCTCTGATGTGGTTTGCTCCTTCTATCTATTATCCTTGTCTCTCCATCTTGTTGTTGTGTTTGTCACTCTCTTGTAACAATGACTTCTAATCTTCGGCACTGATATGACGTTATTGTGCTGCAAGTGCCGTAAAACTCTTACTAAAACTAACTGGCATGTATACACCCATGTACTCACGCAGATAACGCGGCTGACTACATGTATACTGTCTTCGGGAGATGGTCGTTTGATGCCGTGGCCAACGCGCTGGTGTCGGTGGATACCTTCTTTACACTCAGGTACATGAACACATAAAGATGATTCAGCACAGCTCAATGTGAGCAGCACGGCTGTGTCAGCACTTTGTAGGCTCCCCCTCAATTGTTATATCCCCCGTTCCTCAACCTTTGAAATAGCAAATATGCTGTAGCCACCTCATGCGTGTTATAGTTGGGGTTTTTTCTGTTTGTCTTTATTCCCATCTTTTACACACAAAAAAAGAAAAAAAAAGTTTAGGCTGCGTTTTAGGAGGATTATTATTAGTGTTTTCACTTTACTTTGATAATTATAATTACAGTCGAACCTGTCCGTAACGGCAATTCAGGGTTACAGGGAGGACCGTCACAGACAGGTGGTAATTCTGGACAGGGTGTGCGTTTTGGTCAATCACAAATAATAATAATAATA